AAGTCTCCTGGGTTAGAGACAAATCTCAGCTTATTACTCATTTTATTATTTCACCTATCACAGGCAATACCTGTAATCAGATAATCAAAATTTTTGTACCATTCCCTGAGCCCAAATTCCCACAAGGTGATGTGAAGGGGGCCATATGACATAACACACAGTGGATTTAGTAGCACACAGGTCTCTTGAAATCCTGAACTCAGGGAAAGGAACATTTTATAATAGTCAGTAAACAAAGCTACCTTCTACTTTGTAGAAAACACTATCTCTGTCTTCCAAGGCTATGCAAACGTTCTTGAAAATATAGTCTGGAACAAAGAGCAATCAGTGCCTTTGATTTTAAGACATGCAGAAATGCAAGTGACTTATGGCAAATTATCTCTCAAAAGTTTATTTTCCATTTCTTAGTCTCTATTTTTTTTATTCCCTGTCCAGTATTCCTGCCATCCTATCACCTTGCACTTATGACCAAAATTACACAGAGAAAAATGTCCAATGTATTATTTCTGTGGTCAGTGTTACTTAATGGTCAATTTGGATCAGCTTTAAGGCTGACTGATCATTAGTGCAGAAACTGGTTATTAAGGCTGTCAAAAATAACAGTCATGTGAAAACAACCTACAGAAAAAATTTTTCCCTTAGAACCATGGTTTGAGGGTCAATGAGTAAAGGCTGACTCAGGTGAAGCTGGCCCAGATGGTCAGGATCTGGAGACCTTAGGATTCAGTTCCAGAACAATGGACTGAGTTCGGAGTAGCAGCTGAGCAGCCATAAGAGCAGCAACTGAAACTATAATCTAAGGAGCTACATTAGAGAAAAAGCCCCTAAAAGACTGGCATTTGGATTATTTTCTGCTTAGCCTGGCACCTAGATTCATTTTACACCCTTTTGGCCTCTCTATATCCTCTGAGTGGTCTGCTTCTAGGAATGCCATTGCATTCTCAATGGCACCAAGGGGATTGAAAGATTGAGGGGACAGAAAGATAGGAAATTTCTTTTCCATATTTTGCTTGAGCCATGCTTCTAATAGCAACTCTCTACTGCTAAAAGAGCAGCTCTAGCTCCTGCCAGCAAGCCTCTCCT